GATAAAATTGACTGAAGTGTTATGCACTGGTAACATTTGTGTCATTGACGTTTTTCTGAAGATTCCACTTGCGTATCGTCATAATCATCTCCAGGCTTCCTAGTGGCATCTTGAAACAAAGGGGTTCACAAATTTTACTCTCGTTATTCAAAAGCGAACATACCGCCATCGACATACTCAACTTCCGTGTCAGGTGGTAAATTGAGTGCGCGTTTTTGCTCTTGAACGAGCCTCCGTCTTTCCTCTTTTGAGCTAACCTCATCTAATACTTGAGTTTCTAATGCTTTTGGTTTTTTTTGGCTTTCGTTCTGATGTTTGAAATTTCTTTTTTCATCCTTTTCCCTTGTTTCATCTGCTCTCAAAATTTTTGTATCCGCACTTTCTGGTTTTTCGCTCGGGATCTCATTACCATTTTCATCAACTTCCACTTCCACAATTTCATACTCGAACTCTTCGGTGGGTGCAGATGCTGGCGCAACTGTTGCTGTAACCTTAAATGGGCCAATAACTAACTCTCACGATATGCAAATCCCAACTTACTCGAGGGATTGACGTTGTCGTTCGGGCTGTAACATGCTTCTTTTGAGTAGTTGTCCTTTCCGTTGTGCTAGCTATTTTCTTCTCGGGTTCTGTTGTAGTAAAAACTGTTGCAGTACTGGGTTCCTCGGTTGTAGTAGTAGAGGGAGTTGTCCATCGACGCCGTGTTGCTTTTGACGGGTTGACGGTTGTGGACTTAACTTCATCACGGTCCGCTACAGTGGTGGTAGTAGATATTGCGATTGTCGCTCGTCCGGCATTCGGGTCATGTGTGGGTTGACTCTCAGCAAATGCTGTAGATGTAGGCGTCAGCTCTACAGTGGACTGAGTGTTCAAAAATTTTCGAGGTTTCCACACCCGTGTCGCTTTAGTAGACGGCTTGTCAACTTTATTCTCATCATCGATGGTAACTTCAAATTGTGGCTTTGCTGAAATAGGTAGGTCAGATAAAGCCAGCCACGCATTCCTTTACTCGTACGACTCTACGGTGTTATCTCAGAAAGTGACATTTAGCATACAGGACCTGTCGCTCGATAAAAATGAATTTTGCTGTATTGCAGTATAACCCTCTCTTGGTTCAATGATGGTTTTTAGAAAAAGTATGATAATGCTAGAGAAGCAATACACAGATGCCAGATTTGATCATCGACCAAGACATCAAAGTTATGTCGTCGAAATCATTTTTGAAGCAGTTCTATGAATTATTTTTTCAACATAGCTTCGTCTTCTGCATAGCTGAACATAAATCTGTAAAAACGAGACTGCTTCAGCGGCGAGGTGTCGGATGAAAAATTATGGCGTAACTCTTCTGTTTTATACAAAATTAAAACTTGAGCGCCCATCAGATAATTTTCAGAAGACAGTAGCTTCTGGAGATTATGCTGCCCCTTACCGCTTGACAAAAAAAATGATTGTTGAACATTTGACGTAAGCACCCAGACTGTGATTTTCATTTGTGTTAATTTCGGACAACTTACTCCGTAAATTAGGCATAAAGTGTCTGCTCTAT